GCTGCCGGGGCCGAGGGTGCGTCGGCGGGGGGCAGCGGCGACTCGGGCCCCCGCCCGCCTCGGCGAGCACGCCCGCCGCGAGGAGCTGACCTGCCGGCTCCGACTGCCGCCGCTGCCACGTGCAGCGCCTCGCCCGGTGCCCTCGCACCCTGCGGCCTCGCCAGCATCTCGAGGGACGCGGGAGACCTGGCCACAGCGGTGCGGGGCCGGCCCCCGCTCTGGCCCACAGGAGGGCGCGCCCCCTCGGGCGACCTCTCCCGGCCGAGTCCCCAGAAAGAGGCCCTCTTCTGCTGGAGCTTTGACCGCAGCTCCTCGCGCCTCAGCTCGCCATGTGCCACGCGCCTCGCCACCGTCTCTTCCTGCCGCGAGGCCGCGCAGGGCTCCGCGTCGACTGGCACAGGCGCGAGCCACTGCGCCGCGTGCCACCCTCCGTCCTTGATGGCCATGGTCCTTGCCTTGAACTCCTGCATGACCACGTCGAGGGCCTGCACCGTCTGGCCCTAGAGCGCGAGATCCAGCACTCGCGCCAGCGCCCGGGGCCGCCTGGTCTCCGCGGGCCCAACCCCCGCGAGTGCTCCAGGAAGAACACGGCGTCGAGAAACGCCGTGCAGCAGGCGGGCAGGTCCCCCCGTCGGCCCCCGACCACCGAACTGCTTCCGTAGCTGTTCCAGGCCGCTCCGCAGCAGCAGCCCTGGCTTGCACGCCGCCAGCTCGATGAAGTGGTCGTGGCGGTCCTTGGCCTCCCTGCTGTCGATCTCGTTCTCGGAGTCCACGGCGAGGTCGCCGTCTGACTCGGGGCGGGCAGCCCGGCTCCGGCGCCCGAGCAGCTGGTCGCACAGCTGCCGCTCGAACGAGCCGCGGGCGCCGCGGTCGCGAGCAGGCTTGGCCGCCGCAGCGCGATCGGCCGCGCGGGCGGCCAAGAGGGCCTGCGCATCCTGACCCCCCATGGACACGAGAGGCCTCCTGGGCTCGCGGCCTCCGCGGCAGCTTGGCCACCCGGCCCTCGTCTGGAGAGCCGCGCTCGCGACCGCTGAGGCGCGTCGTCCAGCGGGCCCCGCCTGCTGCCGATCACGGCACGCGCGGCGCTCCTCGACCGAGGATGGGGTCGTTGCACAGGGATCGCGCCGCTCGCGCGCCGCTGGGGCCCGGGCGCGACGGGCCCCCGCGGGGCCTCCCAGCGGCAATGGGGCGAGAGCCCCCCGACCCCGCTTCGGCGCCAGGAGGACATCGTCGTCGCCGGATTACTCCTCGCCCTCCTCGCCGTCGTCGGGGAGATCGACAGCCGGCTGAGGGCCCAGGGCCGCCGCCGCCAGCCTCCGGGCTGGCCTGCGGGGGGCGCCCCCGGGCTCGCCAACACCCCCAGCTGGGCCCGCGATGGCGGCGGGCGGGGCTGCCGCCGCCGCGACCGCGGGCATCTCCTCGCAGCCCCAGCGCTCCAGCAGCGCGCGGGCCTCGTCGATCGGCTGGATGAAGTTCACGCGCTCGACCGCCTAGCCATTGGGGCCCTGAGTGCAGCACAAGCGCGCGGGCCTGGCACACACGTGCAGGAGCGCGTGCCCCGCCCACGCGCCGGCTGCGCCACGCGCGCGGGCGTGCCACTCGAAGTACGGGTCCGACGCGACCAGGCTCACGAACTCGAACATGGGCCCACCGTCCTCGAGAGTCGGAACCCCTTCCACGCGGATGACCTCCGAGCCCTGCGAGGCCCAGTCCGCATCGAGGACCCCGACCTGGAGCAGGTCGCCCTGCACCAGCTCCAGCCCTGCCAGCGCGTCCGACGTCAGCTCCGAGTTGAGCCAGAGCCCAGGAGCGCGCGCAGCAGCGGCGGCCCCAGAGCGCCCGCCCACGACGATCACGCGCACCCCGGGGCCCCGGGCCCACGCCCAGCCCGCGTCACCTGCTGGCACCCCAGGCTCCGATGGCGCCGCCAGCAGCCGTGGTCTGGGAGAACAAAGAGGCCCCAGACCCACGGCGCCCCAGTCCCTGGCCAGGGGAGAGGGCGCCTTGACCCAAGACGACTACGGAGTCCAAGGACGACTGAGCCGCTCATACACAGAGGGACTTGGGGCATAATATTCTCGGGGGGGTGCCATATCAATGCAATTGAAATGTCATGACAATGCAAAACAATGTCACGGGAGAACACTGAATGTCTGCAGCCTGCATCGCCATGAATTTCGCTCGCACGCGGTCACATCGCAAAACAAAAAACTGCAGGACTACATGGTTAAACGGGCCACTTCTTCCAAGCCCCGTCTTTCTGTTTCGGGGAAGCGCCTGCCCCGTCACCCACCCCCTCCCCCGAATCAGGACGACCCCCCTGTCAGTGATGTTTTTCTCTCAGAGGATGCGCGGCACCGATGCTGTGTTGGGGCGCCAAGACTGGGGCCAAAATGGCAATAGCGTTGCAAAATGAAGAGGAGGTGATGCGGTGATGCTAGCAAATCGTGCACTGCGAACGAGGCCGCGCTGGGGCCTGAAAACGTCCAAAGCTTAGGAAGAAACGTGGTCTGCACCCCCGGCATTGCCGAGGGGCACCAGACCGGGGCATGCTGAGGGCAGACGGGAGAGGCACCCCGTAAATGCTCACTGGGTGGGAACAGATGCCGACCGTCTGCGAAGTCTCCCCTATGGGAAAAGGTGGCACCCTATGATGAAAAGGATGCCATCCGGGGTCATATGAAATCCGATGAGGAAACCCTACTATAATTCGATGGGATGATAAATTCATAGGGAGGCAAAGAATACATGGAATCCGATGATGGGAAGGATGCCATCTGGGTGCCCCCATCGGATATCCATGAAACTCCCTGCCAGAATCCTGGCTGGCGCGTCCTCAGCACCAGCTCGCAATTGCACTCTGGAGGCGCAGCTCCTGCTAGCTCACCAAAGCAAGGATCGCGCTACAGCCCCGATCGGAGGAGAGATGCAACCAGTATCTTTGTAACGTGTAGTGGTATGCCGCGTCTGCCTGTCACATTCTCAGGTCCGTAGCTGCAATATTACTATCAAAAGACGTAGGGGAACCGACTTCGTACACAACCAACACATACATTCTGCGAGTATTTAAACTGATATTCACGGAAGCATTCTCCTCGTACTCCGACCACAAATTCGCGTGTTAAGAGCTCAACGAGGTCCTGGCGGTAACCTGGTTGACGGTTTATCGCCAGCTCCCAGTATCTAGACGTCTGAGATCGGTCTGCTACCAGAGCCGACTAAACAACTATTTGCGCTTCTTCGTACCTCGTAGAGCTTCTCGGCATCGATGAGCTAGACGAATTCCAGCGCGGGGTGGCCTAGTTGGCCGACCCCAAACTCTCCGATCCGTAGCTGCAGTATTACTATCAAAAGACGTGGAGGAATCGCCTTCGGATCAAAACCGAAAAACATGTATTTTCAAGTTTTCAAGATGATGCTGAAGAAAGTTTTCTCCTTGTGTTCCGAGCAGCGCTACGCGTGCCAAGAGCTCTACAAGGGCCCCGGCGGTAACCTGGTTGCAGTCCACCGCCGGCCCCCAGGTACCTCGTCGAGCTCTTCGGCAACGGTGAGCTAGAGGAGCTCCGGACCGGGGTGGAGCTAGTTGACCGACCCGGCCAGGGCGGACATTGTCGGAACTTTGAATCGGTTGGGCGAATACTGTGATCGATTTGACTGTTCGGGTTAAGAACAAATATTATTCTCACGCGTAGTGTTATGCCGCGTCTGCCTGTCACAGGTCCGTAGCTGCAGTAGTTTTGTTTGTTCGTTTGGACTCGCATTCCCAGCTGAGAGCAGCTGGGCGAGAACAGGTCCCGCAAAAGCACACGGGCAGCGCTGAGCAGCGCTTCGGCTGCCGACAATTCACACTCCGTGACCGTAGCACCGTCCAGGAGCCAACCGGCCTCGGCCGCATCCTTCCTAACGAAGGGAACGGCACTACAAACACCTAACTCATGCCCAGCAGGAAAGGGGCCCACGGTTCTCGCGGAAGCGATACCTATCTCACTGGGATAGGGTTTAGGGTTTAGGGTTTCGGGTTTAGGGTTTAGGGTTTAGGGTTTAGGGTTTAGGGCCTGCATTGGCGCATGCGCGCGCTGGCTGCGATCCCCCCCACATCAAGGTTGTCGGGGGGGATCGCTGCCCAAGCCGCGCGCGCTTTGAACTTGCACTCCCGCCCCAGACCACCCACAGTAAAGCCCTTTAGGGTTTAGGGTTTCTCCCCCCAACCCCCCTATCAAGGGGGGCTTTCGTGTTGTGTGCGAATACGAATATTCCGCGGGGAGCACGACGACGCGGTTTTGGCATTGCGTTCTTGGTACGCGCGCAAAGCGCTTTGCGCAGGCGCAAGAGCCAGCGTCGTCGCATGGCCAACAATCTTTGCCGTGGGTTTAGCTGCATTCGGCTGGCTCCCAGTTGGCGCATGGCTTTGCCGAAGACGGATTCTTCTCCTGCGGGTGTTCATTGCAATCAGAAGGCACAGGAGAGGCCTCAAGGCCAGGCGTCGCCGCATGAGGTTTTGAGTTACGGCGTTGGCCTGTCGCAGACGCAGCACTGCCCCTGGTTCCAGTAGGCCTCCTGCATTGGCTTTTGCCGTTGGCCTGGCTGCCCTTGCAGCCGCCGTCGTAGACGGCTGCCGCTGGCGCAGCACATCCACAGGGGTCCGCATTTGCCTTCGGCGTTGGAAAGCAGCACTGCGAGGGCGCTGGCGCGGCAATCCCATGGGCCCCCGTGGGCCTCGAGCGAGTAGCCGCACCGTCGGGCTGCTCGCTGACGGCGACGCGCACGGCAGTTGCTTTCGCCCGCGGCTTTGGGTTTTGTTTTGAAGTCGCAATCATCGACGCAGACGCTGTCGACGCGAGCTTCGGAAGGCAGGAGGAGGAGCGCGAGGGGGTGGGTCTGGCACCCCCTCGCTACGATGCGCGCGCATGGCTGCGGCAGCACGTCCATGGCAGACCCCTTGGAATGCCTTGGGGGAGCTCTCTGGGAGCGCTGGGGGAGCGCCTCGACCTTTCCCCAGGATGGAAGCACGTGGGAGCGTCTGGGAGCGCGACAGGACACGCAGAGTGCACCGCGAGCGCGAGCCGTGAATTGCCCGTTGGGCTTGACCGTTGGCGTCGCTCCCGCTGAAGCGATTGCATTGTCGACGCAGCCGCCTTCGGCGCGAATTTCGCATGGCTGGAAGGGGGAGCGCGAGGGGGTGGGTCTGGCACCACCTCGCTACGATGCGCGTGCATGGCTGCTGCAGCACCTCCATGGCAGACTTCTTGGAATGCCTTGGGAGAGCTCTCTGGGAGCGTTGAGAGAGCGCCTCGAGGTTTCCCCAGGATGGAAGCACGCGGGAGCGTCTGGGAGCGTGACAGGACACGCAGAGTGCACCGCGAGTGCGGGCCGTGGGTTGTCCATTGGGCAGGACCGTTGGCGTCGCCCCCGCTGAAGCGATTGCATTGTCGACGCAGCCGCCTTCGGCGCGAATGTCGCATGGCTGGAGAGGGAGCGCGAGGGGGTGGGTCTGGCACCCCCTCGCTACGATGCGCGCGCACGGCTGCGGCAGCACCTGCATTGCGGGGGAGCGCCGGGGAGCGCCGCCAGGGAGCGCTGCCGAGTGCTTGCGAATGCATGAAAACACTTGGGAGCGCCATGAGACCGCTTGGACGTCTGAAACGCGCTTGGGAACGCCGGGGAGCGCTTGGGACCACCTGAGGGAGCTTCGGAGCGCTTGGGAGCGCATGGGAACGCCTGGGAGCGCTTGGGAGCGTGCTGGGAGCGTGCCGGGAGCGCCTGGGAGCGCGCCGGAGCGCCTGGGAGTGCTTCGGAGCGCCCCGGAGCGCTCGGAGGCGCCGGGGAGCGCTTGGGAGCGCGCAGGGAGCGCCTGAGCAGGCTGGGAGCGCCTGGGATGCTTGGAAGCGCCAGGGAGCGCCAGGGAGCACCTGGGAGCGTGCCGGGAGCGCCTGAGAGCGCCTGGGAGCGCCATGCGCCTGGGAGCGCTTGGGAGCGCTGGGGAGCGCCTGGGAACGCTTGGGAGCGCCTGGGAGCGCTTCGCTTGGGAGCGCCTGGGAGCGCTTGGGAGCGCCTGGGACGTGCGCCAGCCGAAAGGACGCCGCATGCTGTATTTTCATATGGTTTGCGGCCCCACGGACGGCCGAAAGGGCGCCGCATGCTGTATTTTCATAAGTTTGGAGCCCCAGGGGATGGCGCCGACCGCGGCAAACCCACTGGCTGGGGTGTGAGGTTAAGGGTTCTTTCTATTCTCAGAAGCACACCCACGGGGATGCATACCCGCGGGATGCGAATCCTCCTCAGCGGCTATCGCCGCTTCGTCGGTGCGGCGCGCGCGCATGGGCGGACTCGCTGATCGCTCCGCCAGGCGCCACGGGCTTCTGACGATGCACCGCCCGTGGCTTGCAGTTTAGGGTTTAGGGCCTGCATGGGCGCATGCGCGCGCTGGCTGCGATCCCCCCCACATCAAGGTTGTTGGGGGGGATCGCTGCCCAAGCCGCGCGCGCTATGAACTTGCACTCCCGCCCCAGACCACCCATAGTAAAGCCTTTTAGGGTTTAGGGTTTCTCCCCCAAACCCCCCTATCAAGGGGAGCTTTCGTGTTGGCGCGCGCAGGCGATCGCCGACGCGGCCGTGGCATTGCGCATCCACGTGAGCACGCGCGCAGGGCTGCCCCTGGCGCAGCATGTCCGTGCGTTGCCGCCTTTGCCTTCGGCACTGGGTTGTGACACTGGGGTGCGAATGCTGGGAAGCGCGCGCGCGGTCGCGGCCGTGGCAATGCGCGCCCATGCGGGCACGCGCGCAGGGTGCATGGCGCTGGCGCGTCAGCTCGCCTCGTCGATGAGGCAGCTGTTGCGCCTTCGGCAGGGGGCTTCGCCGTTGGGCTGCCGCTGGCGCAGCAGTTCCACAAGGGGTCCGGCATTTGCCTTCGGCATTGGAAAGCAGCACTGCGAAGGCGCTGGCGCAACAATCCCATGGGTTCCCGCTATCTCCGAGCTATCTTTGAAGGACGCCACAGACGGCGCCTTCGGCTTCGCCCCCGCGCTCGCTGCGGCCGCGGCCCACGCCTGGCCTGGCGCCTGGCGCATTCTGGGCGCTATCTCCGAGTTATCTTTGAAGGACGCCACAGACGGCGCCTTCGGCCTCGCCCCCGCGCCCGCTGCGGCCGCGGCCCACGCCTGGCGTGGCGCCTGGCGCACTCTGGGCACTATCTCCGAGCTATCTTTGAAGGACGCCACAGACGGCGCCTTCGGCCTCGCCCCCGCGCCCGCTGCGGCCGCGGCCCACGCCTGGCGCGGCGCCTGGCGCACTCTGGGCACTATCTCCGAGCTATCTTTGAAGGACGCCACAGTCGGCGCCTTTGCTGTAGCCTTTGCGCCCGCTGTGGCCGCGGCCCACGCCAGGCGCGCCTCGGGCGCTCGTGAGCGCTATCTCCGAGCTATCTTTGAAGGACGCCACAGTCGGCGCCATCGCTGTAGCCTTTGCGGCCGCTGCGGCCGCCGCCCACGCCAGGCGTGCCTCGGGCGCTCGTGAGCGCTATCTCCGAGCTATCTTTGAAGGACGCCACAGTCGGCGCCTTCGCTGTAGCCTTTGCGCCCGCTGCGGCCGCCGCCCACGCCAGGCGTGCCTCGGGCGCTCGTGAGCGCTATCTCCGAGCTATCTTTGAAGGACGCCACAGTCGGCGCCTTTCGCTGTAGCCTTTGCGCCCGCTGCGGCCGCGGCCCACGCCAGGCGTGCCTCGGGCGCTCGTGAGCGCTATCTCCGAGCTATCTTTGAAGGACGCCACAGTCGGCGCCTCGCTGTAGCCTTTGCGCCCGCTGCGGCCGCAACCCACGCCGGGCGTGCCTCGGGCGCTCGTGAGCGCTATCTCCGAGCTATCTTTGAAGGACGCCACCGTCGGCGCCTTCGCTGTAGCCCTTGCGCCCGCTGCGGCCGCCGCCCACGCCAGGCGCGCCTCGGGCGCTCGTGAGCGCTATCTCCGAGCTATCGTTGAAGGACGCCACAGTCGGCGCCTTCGCTGTAGCCTTTGCGGCCGCTGCGGCCGCCGCCCACGCCGGCGTGCCTCGGGCGCTCGTGAGCGCTATCTCCGAGCTATCTTTGAAGGACGCCACAGTCGGCGCCTTCGCTGTAGCCTTTGCGGCCGCTGCGGCCGCCGCCCACGCCAGGCGTGCCTCGGGCGCTCGTGAGCGCTATCTCCGAGCTATCTTTGAAGGACGCCACAGTCGGCGCCTTCGCTGTAGCCTTTGCGCCGCTGCGGCCGCGCCCACGCCAGGCGTGCCTCGGGCGCTCGTGAGCGCTATCTCCGAGCTATCTTTGAAGGACGCCACAGTCGGCGCCTTCGCTGTAGCCTTTGCGCCCGCTGCGGCCGCCGCCCACGCCAGGCGTGCCTCGGGCGCTCGTGAGCGCTATCTCCGAGCTATCTTTGAAGGACGCCACAGTCGGCGCCTTCGCTGTAGCCTTTGCGCCCGCTGCGGCCGCGGCCCACGCCAGGCGTGCCTCGGGCGCTCGTGAGCGCTATCTCCGAGCTATCTTTGAAGGACGCCACAGTCGGCGCCTTCGCTGTAGCCTTTGCGCCCGCTGCGGCCGCCGCCCACGCCAGGCGTGCCTCGGGCGCTCGTGAGCGCTATCTCCGAGCTATCTTTGAAGGACGCCACAGTCGGCGCCTTCGCTGTAGCCTTTGCGCCGCTGCGGCCGCGGCCCACGCCAGGCGTGCCTCGGGCGCTCGTGAGCGCTATCTCCGAGCTATCTTTGAAGGACGCCACAGTCGGCGCCTTCGCTGTAGCCTTTGCGCCCGCTGCGGCCGCCGCCCGCGCCGGGCGTGCCTCGGGCGCTCGCGAGCGCTATCTCCGAGCTATCTTTGAAGGACGCCACAGTCGGCGCTTTCGCCGTAGCCTTTGCGCCCGCTGCGGCCGCGGCCCACGCCAGGCGTGCCGCGGGCGCTCGTGAGCGCTATCTCCGAGCTATCTTTGAAGGACGCCACAGTCGGCGCCTTCGCTGTAGCCTTTGCGCCCGCTGCGGCCGCGGCCCACGCCAGGCGTGCCTCGGGCGCTCGTGAGCGCTATCTCCGAGCTATCTTTGAAGGACGCCACAGTCGGCGCCTTCGCTGTAGCCTTTGCGCCCGCTGCGGCCGCGGCCCACGCCAGGCGTGCCTCGGGCGCTCGTGAGCGCTATCTCCGAGCTATCTTTGAAGGACGCCACAGTCGGCGCCTTCGCTGTAGCCTTTGCGCCCGCTGCGGCCGCCGCCCACGCCAGGCGTGCCTCGGGCGCTCGTGAGCGCTATCTCCGAGCTATCTTTGAAGGACGCCACAGTCGGCGCCTTCGCTGTAGCCTTTGCGCCCGCTGCGGCCGCCGCCCACGCCAGGCGTGCCTCGGGCGCTCGTGAGCGCTATCTCCGAGCTATCTTTGAAGGACGCCACAGTCGGCGCCTTCGCTGTAGCCTTTGCGGCCGCTGCGGCCGCCGCCCACGCCAGGCGCGCCTCGGGCGCTCGTCACGCTATCCCCGAGCTATCTTTGAAGGACGCCACAGTCGGCGCCTTCGCTGTAGCCTTTGCGCCCGCTGCGGCCGCCGCCCAAGCCAGGCGCGCCGCGGGCCGCCGCCCACGCCAGGCGTGCCGCGGGCGCTCGTGAGCGCTATCTCCGAGCTATCTTGAAGGACGCCACAGTCGGCGCCTTCGCTGTAGCCTTTGCGCCCGCTGCGGCCGCCGCCCACGCCAGGCGTGCCTCGGGCGCTCGTGAGCGCTATCTCCGAGCTATCTTTGAAGGACGCCACAGTCGGCGCCTTCGCTGTAGCCTTTGCGCCCGCTGCGGCCGCCGCCCGCGCCGGGCGTGCCTCGGGCGCTCGTGAGCGCTATCTCCGAGCTATCTTTGAAGGACGCCACAGTCGGCGCCTTCGCTGTAGCCTTTGCGCCCGCTGCGGCCGCCGCCCACGCCGGGCGTGCCTCGGGCGCTCGTGAGCGCTATCTCCGAGCTATCTTTGAAGGACGCCACAGTCGGCGCCTTCGCTGTAGCCTTTGCGCCCGCTGCGGCCGCCGCCCACGCCAGGCGTGCCTCGGGCGCTCGTGAGCGCTATCTCCGAGCTATATTTGAAGGACGCCACAGTCGGCGCCTTCGCTGTAGCCTTTGCGCTCGCTGCGGCCGCCGCCCACGCCAGGCGTGCCTCGGGCGCTCGTGAGCGCTATCTCCGAGCTATCTTTGAAGGACGCCACAGTCGGCGCCTTCGCTGTAGCCTTTGCGCCCGCTGCGGCCGCGGCCCACGCCAGGCGTGCCTCGGGCGCTCGTGAGCGCTATCTCCGAGCTATCTTTGAAGGACGCCACAGTCGGCGCCTTCGCTGTAGCCCTTGCGCCGCTGCGGCCGCCGCCCACGCCAGGCGTGCCTCGGGCGCTCGTGAGCGCTATCTCCGAGCTATCTTTGAAGGACGCCACAGTCGGCGCCTTCGCTGTAGCCTTTGCGCCCGCTGCGGCCGCGCCCACGCCAGGCGTGCCTCGGGCGCTCGTGAGCGCTATCTCCGAGCTATCTTTGAAGGACGCCACAGTCGGCGCCTTCGCTGTAGCCTTTGCGCCCGCTGCGGCCGCAACCCACGCCAGGCGTGCCTCGGGCGCTCGTGAGCGCTATCTCCGAGCTATCTTTGAAGGACGCCACAGTCGGCGCCTTCGCTGTAGCCTTTGCGCCCGCTGCGGCCGCCGCCCACGCCAGGCGTGCCTCGGGCGCTCGTGAGCGCTATCTCCGAGCTATCTTTGAAGGACGCCACAGTCGGCGCCTTCGCTGTAGCCTTTGCGCCCGCTGCGGCCGCCGCCCACGCCAGGCGTGCCTCGGGCGCTCGTGAGCGCTATCTCCGAGCTATCTTTGAAGGACGCCACAGTCGGCGCCTTCGCTGTAGCCTTTTGCGCCCGCTGCGGCCGCGCCCACGCCAGGCGTGCCGCGGGCGCTCGTGAGCGCTATCTCCGAGCTATCTTTGAAGGACGCCACAGTCGGCGCCTTCGCTGTAGCCTTTGCGCCCGCTGCGGCCGCCGCCCACGCCAGGCGTGCCTCGGGCGCTCGTGAGCGCTATCTCCGAGCTATCTTTGAAGGACGCCACAGTCGGCGCCTTCGCTGTAGCCTTTGCGCCCGCTGCGGCCGCCGCCCACGCCAGGCGTGCCTCGGGCGCTCGTGAGCGCTATCTCCGAGCTATCTTTGAAGGACGCCACAGTCGGCGCCTTCGCTGTAGCCTTTGCGCCCGCTGCGGCCGCCGCCCACGCCAGGCGTGCCTCGGGCGCTCGTGAGCGCTATCTCCGAGCTATCTTTGAAGGACGCCACAGTCGGCGCCTTCGCTGTAGCCTTTGCGCCCGCTGCGGCCGCCGCCCACGCCAGGCGTGCCTCGGGCGCTCGTGAGCGCTATCTCCGAGCTATCTTTGAAGGACGCCACAGTCGGCGCCTTCGCTGTAGCCTTTGCGCCCGCTGCGGCCGCCGCCCACGCCAGGCGTGCCTCGGGCGCTCGTGAGCGCTATCTCCGAGCTATCTTTGAAGGACGCCACAGTCGGCGCCTTCGCTGTAGCCTTTGCGCCCGCTGCGGCCGCCGCCCACGCCAGGCGTGCCTCGGGCGCTCGTGAGCGCTATCTCCGAGCTATCTTTGAAGGACGCCACAGTCGGCGCCTTCGCTGTAGCCTTTGCGCCCGCTGCGGCCGCCGCCCACGCCAGGCGTGCCTCGGGCGCTCGTGAGCGCTATCTCCGAGCTATCTTTGAAGGACGCCACAGTCGGCGCCTTCGCTGTAGCCTTTGCGCCCGCTGCGGCCGCCGCCCACGCCAGGCGTGCCTCGGGCGCTCGTGAGCGCTATCTCCGAGCTATCTTTGAAGGACGCCACAGTCGGCGCCTTCGCTGTAGCCTTTGCGCCTGCGCTGCGGCCGCGGCCCACGCCAGGAGCCTGCCTGCGGCTGCGTCGAGCGCTATCTCCGAGCTATCGTTGAAGGACGCCACAGTCGAAGAACTGTAGCCTTTGCGCCCGCTGCGGCCGCCGCCCACGCCAGGCGTGCCTCGGCGCGCTCGTGAGCGCTATCTCCGAGCTATCTTTGAAGAACGCCACAGTCGGCGCCTTCGCTGTAGCCTTTGCGCCCGCTGCGGCCGCCGCCCACGCCAGGCGTGCAGCGGGCGCTCGTCAGCGCGTCTTTGAAGGACGCCACAGTCGGCGCCTTCGCTTAGCCTTTGCGCCCGCTGCGGCCGCGGCCCACGCCAGGCGTGCCGCGGGCGCTCGTGAGCGCTATCTCCAAGCTATCTCTGAAGGACGCCACAGTCGGCGCCTTCGCTGTAGCCTTTGCGCCCGCTGCGGCCGCGGCCCACGCCAGGCGTGCCTCGGGCGCTCGTCAGCGCTATCTCCGAGCTATCTTTGAAGGACGCCACCGTCGGCGCCTTCGCTGTAGCCTTTGCGCCCGCTGCGGCCGCGGCCCACGCCAGGCGTGCCTCGGGCGCTCGTGAGCGCTATCTCCGAGCTATCTTTGAAGGACGCCACAGTCGGCGCCTTCGCTGTAGCCTTTGCGCCCGCTGCGGCCGCCGCCCACGCCAGGCGTGCCGCGGGCGCCCGTCAGCGCTATCTCCGAGCTATCTTTGAAGGACGCCACAGTCGGCGCCTTCGCTGTAGCTTTTGCGCCCGCTGCGGCCGCGGCCCACGCCAGGCGCGCCTCGGGCGCTCGTCAGCGCTATCTCCGAGCTATCTTTGGAGGACGCCACCGTCGGCGCCTTCGCTGTTGCCTTTGCGCCCGCCGCGGCCGCGGCCCACGCCAGGCGTTCCGCGGGCGCTCGTGAGCGCTATCTCCGAGCTATCTTTGAAGGACGCCACAGTCGGCGCCTTCGCTGTAGCCTTTGCGGCCGCTGCGGCCGCCGCCCACGCCAGGCGTGCCTCGGGCGCTCGTGAGCGCTATCTCCGAGCTATCTTTGAAGGACGCCACCGTCGGCGCCTTCGCTGTAGCCTTTGCGCCCGCTGCGGAGCGCACTCGGGAGGGGAGAGGCGGCGCGCGGGCAGTGTTGGAGAGTGTGTTTTTATGGCATGACACGCGCACGTGTTCGCAGGTTGGAAGGGGGAGAGCGAGGGGGAGGGTCTGGCTCCCCCTCGCACACTGTTGACATGAACGGCGCGAGCTTCGGACGGCTGAGGGGGGGCGCGAGGGGGTGGGTCTGGCACCCCCTCGCTACGATGCGCGCGCATGGCTGCGGCAGCACCTCCATGACAGAGCCCGTGGACCCCCTCGCTACGATGCGCGCGCATGGCTGCGGCAGCACCTCCATGACAGAGCCCGTGGAATGCCTTGGGGGGGGCATCTGGCAGCGCTGGGAGAGCACCTGGAGCTTCCCCCATGAGCCCTGGGACTGCCTGGAACCGCCTGGGCACGCTTGGGAGCGCGTGGGAGCGCATGGGAGCGCCGCGTGGCGCCTTGGAGCGCTTGTGGGTGCTGAAAAGCGCGTGGGGATGCTTGGGCGCCTGGGAGCACCTGGGAGCGCAGGGGAGCGCTTAGGAGCGCTTCGGAGTTGTGGCAGCGCTGGGAATGCTGGCGAGCGCCTGCGAGCGACTGGGAGCGCGCCAGGAGCGTGCCGGGAGCGCTTGGGAGCGCCTGCGAGCGCCTGGGAGCGCCCGGGGGCGTGCCGGGAGCTCTTGGGAGCGTCCGAGAGCGCAGCCAGCGCGCGCCTGGGAACGCGCCTGGGTGCGTGCCGGGAGCGCCCAGGAACGCTTTGGAGCGCTTGGGAGCGCTCGAATGCGCCTGGGAGCGCTTGGGAGCGCGTCGGAGCGTGCCGAGAGCGCCTGGGAGCGTGCCGGAAGCGCCTGAAGCGCCGTGGAGCGCTTGGGAGCGTGCCGGGAGCGCTTGGCAAAGCGTGGAAGCGCCTGGGAGCGCTTGGGAGCGCTTGGGAGCGCTTGGGAGCGCCTGCGAGCACCTGGGAGCGCCTGGGAGCGTGCCGGAAGCGCTTGGAAAGTCCTTGGGAGCGCCTGGAGCGTTTGGAAGCGCTTGGAGCGCCGCATGCTGTAATTTCATAGGTTTGGAGCACCCAGGGGGCACCGCATGCTGCATTTTCATAGGTTTGGAGCCCCAGGGGATGTAGGAGCGCGCAGGGGACCCGCTTGCTAGGGCTGAGGGTTAGGGGTTCCTTTTCTTAGGAACACCCACGGGGATGCACCGCGCGGCGTGCGAATTCCTCCTCAGCGGCTATCGCCGCTTCGTCGGTGCGGCGCACGCTGTATGGGCAGGCTCGCTGATCGCTCGGCCAGGCGCCACGGGCTTCTGACGATGCACCGCCCGTGGCTTGCAGTTTAGGGTTTAGGGTTTAGGGTTTAGGGCTTCTCTTAGCGCAGCGGCCGACAGTCCAGGCAATGCTGCCCCCCCTTCGGCAAGCTTGATTGGGGGGGCGGTTAGCCGACCCGAGCAAGCTTGGCGAAGGGAGCAGGAGTTGCAACATCTTCCCACCCCCGGCCGCATGGCCGGCGACCTCCCAAACTAAAGCCTTTTAGGGTTTAGGGCCGCTGGCCCCTAAATTCCCAAATGGCTCCAAGCGCTCCCAGGCGCTCCCTGGCGCTCCCAGGCGCTCCCAGGCGCTCCCAGGCGGTCCCCGGCGCTCCCCGGCGCTCCCCGGCGTTCCCAGGCGCTCCCAGGCGCTCCCCGGCGCCCCCCGGCGCTACCCGGCGCTCCCTGGCGCTCCCCGGCGCCCCCATGCGCTCCCAGGCGCTCCCCGGCGCTCCCAGGCGCTCCGCGGCGCTCCCAGGTGCGCCCCGGCGCTCCCAGGCGCTTCCAGGCGCTCCCAAGCGCTTCCCGCTCTGTCCCAGGCGCTCCCAGGCGCTCCCAAGCGCTCCCAGGCGCTCCCAGACGCTCCCAGGCTCTCCCAGGCGCTCACAAGTGCGCCCAGAAGCGCTTAGAGCGCCCCACACGTGTTTTTACGTGTCGGAGAAGTAGGAACCCGACCCGAGGACGAAAGGTCCCCGGGTTTAGGGTGTTGTACTCTTCGAAGATCAAGCATGGTTTATCTTTGCATCGTAGATCCCCAAGCGTGGGGTTAGGTAGCCCTAGGCTACCAGGACGACCCAGTCGGGCAACCAGCTGAAGCATCTCAGAGAAGCCCTGTCTCTCGTAGACGGCGACGGTGATGCGCGGTGGGGTGGGCAGAAGCACAACGAGGTGCTTGGGAATTTAGGGTTTAGGGTTTAGGGCTTCTCTTAGCGCAGCGGCCGACAGTCCAGGCAATGCTGCCCCCCCTTCGGCAAGCTTGATTGGGGGGGCGGTTAGCCGACCCGAGCAAGCTTGGCGAAGGGGGCAGGAGGTGCAACATCTTCCCACCCCCCGCCGCATGGCCGGCAACCCCCCAAACTACAGCCTTTTAGGGTTTAGGGCCGCTGGCCCCTAAATTCCAAAATGGCTCCAAGCGCTCCCAAGCGCTCCCTGGCTCCCCCAGGCGGTCCCAAGCGCTCCCAGGCGCTCCCAAGCGCCCCCCGGCGCTCCCAAGCGCTCCCAGGCGCTCCCAGGCGCTCCCCGGCGCTCCCAGGCGCTCCCCGGCGCTCCCAGGCGCTCCCCGGTGCTCCCATCAGCAACATCAACATCGTCATCAGCATCAGCAGCAGCATCAGCATCAGCATCAGCATCAGCATCATCATCGCCATCATCAGCAGCATCAGCATCATCACCATCACCACCATCAGCATCATCGGCAGCAGCGTTATAATCATCATCAGCAGCAGCATCAACTTCATGAGCAACATCAGCATCATCAGCATCATCATCAACATCATAATCATCATCATCGTCATGTTCATCATCATGTTATTCAGCATCACCATCATTACCATCATCGTCAGCAGCATCATCAGGCCCATCATAAACAGCATCATCAGCAACAGCATCATCGTCATCATCATCATCATCATCAGCAGCAGCATCATAATCAGCAGCATCATCGTCATAATCAGCATCATCGTCATCATCGTCATCATAGTCGTCATCATCATCATATGCATCATCACCATCGTCATCATAATCACCACCAGCATAAGCATCGTCTTCATCAGCATCCTCATGATCATCCGTATCATCATGGTCAGCATCGTCGTCGTTATCGTCATCACCATCGCCATCGCCGTCGCCATCGTCATCATCATCATCAGCAGCATCAGCATCATCATCAGCATCAGCATCATCATCATTATCATCAGCATCATACTCACAAGCATCGCAATCACACCCCCTACATCATTCCTACTCCCACCTGCTCCCTCTTCTTCGTCCCTTCTCCTGGTTCCTCCTCCTCGTCCTTCCTCCTCGCCCCTCCTCCTCCTCAGTAGCCATAATGGCTCAAAATGTTTGATGTCCTGCGGATCCGCACGGATACCGCTAGCCCACCGCAGTTTTCCAAATCTTCGCCTGGTCCGCCCCAGGCTGAACTTGTCGTGGTCCGCCCCACTGCAGGCAGACTTTGTTCCAGTCCACCATGCAGCATGGCGGCCCGAAGCTGAAGTACACAACGTGGTACAAGGTGGACGTGGCACGGCAAGTCCAGTTGCTTCGCCTGTGGCAAGGCGCTCGAGCTCGCCATCGTCTTCTGGGCCCCGCTTCAGCCGCAGGGCGGGGCCTGGAACCTCACAAAGCCAGCAGCACCCGACGGCGACAGATGGCACGAATGGTGCAGCGAGCCCAAGTCGCGCCGCCGCCGCACTGCAATCGGCGCGAGGTGGGGGCGTCCCTGCAATCGCCCGGCAGCCATCGAGCCCCGCGGAGCTCGTCAAGCTGCTCGACGCCGACTTGCCTGCGCACAAAAAATTACCCTGCGACGTACCCAACCCACGTGCATCAAATGGCAAGAGGAGTATGCCAACATTAGCAGGAACAACGACAGTGTAGACGCGGCGATTTGCTGTGCAAGCTACATGGGATGCGCATGCGCTGCACGATTCACAGGACGACGATCGAAAGAACGAGGCTTGAGGCCCCAGGATCGAAGAAGAACGGGCACGGGAACGAGGGGTAGGAGAGGGATGGAATGGAGGGCGGGGGGGGCGAAAGGCCATCGCGGAAGCAGCAGCATGCATGGAGAAGGTGAGGCGGGGAATAGGACGACGATGAAAGTGGCGGGAGGAGACAGAAGACTGCCGCGTTTTTCAAGTGCGAGCTAAACCCGCAGCGCTGCCTGCGCCATGTCGTCGCAGAGTTCCACATGATAAAACTTGTTTAGAGTGCAAGGAACGAGCGAGGCGTAGCTCGCCCGCTAGCTTCTCCGCCTCCTTCCCGCACATTTCAGCGCGGGAGCTGAACGCTCGCAGGCGCGCCGCCAGGTCTGCGGGCGGCCCGCGGGAAAGAAACTCAAGGCCGGGGTCGCGTATCATCAATCGGTTGTCCATCGTCCAAAGTTGCACTGGCGACGTACTGGTTGAACGCGGAGCGAGCAGCATCACGCGCGTGCCTGAACGCCACGCAGGTACAGTGCACGCGCGATTGGGACTTCAGGTCGATCACGCGCGTCTCCACCAGGCTTGGCAACACCACGCGACTGAGGATCTCACTGCGGTCTGCCATGCTGCTGTCCGCGAATGCAATGCGCTGCCTGCAAGTAAGGCGGCGGCGTCCACTTGTCTCAGAAGATGTTCCCGCGGGCCCGAAGGGCGACCGCCAGCTCGAGCCGCGGCGCCGGCAGGCCAGATAAGGATCATGCAACAGCAAAGACGATGACAGAGCAACGAGGTATCGGCGAGTGCATGACCGGCCTCCGTTTCCTGCACTTCTTTCCTGTAGTTCCCCTAGCTCATCGAGCTCAGCAGATGTTTCTGCGGGTCCGAAGGACGACCGCCAGCTCGAGTCGCAGCGCCACGTGGCACGAACCGCAGAGCAAGGGCACGCGAGCATTGCTCGTGGTCAGAATCTGAGTCCCCGTGGTGCCTCACTCCGCTGGCCACCCACCAGCAGCCCTCGAAAGTGGCGACAGTTTCACAGATCGCAGCCGCCCAGGGGTGGCGAGGTCTAATCTGAGTCCCCGTGGTGCCTCACTCCGCTGGACCCACCAGCAGCCTCGAAAGTGGCGACAGTTTCACACAGGGATGGCGAGGTCTAATCTGAGTCCCCGTGGTGCCTCACTCCGCTGGACCCACCAGCAACCCTCGAAAGTGGCGACAGTTTCACAGATCGCAGCCCCCCAGAGATGGCGAGGTCTAATCTGAGTCCCCGTGGTGCCTCACTCCGCTGGACCCACCAGCAGCCCTCGAAAGTGGCGACAGTTTCACAGATCGCAGCCCCCCAGAGATGGCGAGGTCTAATCTGAGTCCCCGTGGTGCCTCACTCCGCTGGACCCACCAGCAGCCCTCGAAAGTGGTGACAGTTTCACAGATCGCAGCCCCCCCCAGAGATGGCGAGGTCTAATCTGAGTCCCCGTGGTGCCTCACTCCGCTGGACCCACCAGCAGCCCTCGAAAGTGGCGACAGTTTCACAGATCGCAGCCCCCCCCCCCAGGGATGGCGAGGTCTAATCTGAGTCCCCGTGGTGCCTCACTCCGCTGGACCCACCAGCAGCCCTCGAAAGTGGTGACAGTTCCGCAAATCGCAGCCCGCCAGGGATGACGTGAAAGGCAAGGGAAGAGAAGAGGAGGAGCGAAGAGAGGAGGAGAAGGCAAGCAAGAGAGGAGAGGAGGAGGGAAGAGAGGGGGGGGGCGGGAGGAGGAGAACGGAGACCGCAGTGCTCTATTCAAAACGAGTACCCAACGCAGGAGGGTTGGGACAAAATACGGCATGGAGTGGAACTGGGAGAAGACCGTGCAGATACAAGTTGGTTGCCAGAGTGCAATTCAACAACCTAGTGGGGATCCTATCAGAAGCGTCAGAGAAGCGATCTACTTGGGAGGGCTTGTGTCCTGCGACGCCGGGCAAACAGCGAACTCTTGAGACGGATCGGCGAGAGCACGAACCTATTCAGACAGCTTCAGAAGTTGTGGGCTCATACATCCATTGGCCGGCGTCGCAAATTACATATCTATTGGAGTTGTGTGATCAGTAAATTGATATATTCTCCGGATTCTTTATGGTTGTTGAAGGCAAAGAGGGATCGGCTAGATGCTTTCCACTGTAAGTGTTTACGCAAGATCCTCGGTATTCCGCATTCATTTGTATCTGGAATCTCTAACGCGACCGTTCTGGAGAAGGCTGAGTCGCTGCCTTTGTCACAGGTTTTACACGAGAAGCAAATTGCACTGTACAGGAATATCGCAGACCAGCCACTTAATTCGTTAATACGACGTCTCGTGTGCAACCCGGATGGCACCCCAAAAGACCGGGCACGCCGCCGCGGCAGAGGGCGCCCGCGACAGCAGTGGGCGAAGTCAGCGTTTGCCCTGGAGCAGGTGAACTTATGACCTCCCCTGTCTTGCTGCCCTCCTCCTCCTCCTCCTCCTCCTCCCTCCTCCTCCTCCTCCTCCTCCTCCTCCTCCTCCTCCTCCGTAGCCATTTTGGCTCAAGCCATTTTGGCAACGCCCCGCTCCTGTGCCTGCACGGGGTACTTGAGGCACTACGTTTTTATCCCTTTCCCCAAGTTCAGGGATTGAACGTCGACCAAAACAGGAGTGTTTGATCATGGCCCGTCTCTGGTCCCGCTGCTCCTGCCAGCGTTGTGAGTACAATGACATTTTGGAAGCACGAGACAGAGTCTGCCTAGGATGTAATCGGAAGGTCAAGCTGCACAAGCCTCGCCCTGGCTCCGCAGCCGCCCTCGCGCAGGAGCCGCCCCCCCCCGCCAGCGCGGGCCAGGGCGCGGCTATCTCGCAGGGCGGCCAAGGCAAAGGGAAGGACATCTCCAAGAACAAGGCTGAGAAGCTGCAGGCCGCCGCGTCGCTCGACGTAGCCGAGTTACTCCGCATGGCAGTGAAGGGCACACAGGACGCTGATCTTCGGCAGGTGCTCGAGGCGCAGGTGAAGCGCCTGGGCGGCACCGCCACCACCGCACCCGCGGGGCCGGCAGAGGCTCTCAAGAAGGCGGTGGGTCTTTTCAAGGATGCCGAGCACAAGCACACGCAGGCAGCCGCGCAGGTGGTGCGCCTCGAGGCCAGCCTGGCCCAGGCGCGGACCCGCGAGCAGGCTGCCGCTTTGACACTAGCGCAGGCCGAGCGGGCCAAGCGCACAGCCGCTGAGGCCATGGCAGTTGCAGAAGGCGTTGTACTTCGGCCTGAAGGAGCCACCCAGCCCAAGTTTGCAGTCAGCTGGGACAAGGAGCTCTTCGACGGCATCGATGATTTAGAGTGCACGGATGGTGAGAGGACCGAGCTCAAGAAGATAAAGCTCGACTTAGAAAAGCTCCAGCACGTCATGGAGGGCAAGGAGGCCGAGGTGTCGGCGATGCTCTCCAAGGCGCAAGAGATGCAGGATCGTTTCCGCAAGAAGAGGAAGACCGAGCCTGACGGGACGCAGCCCTCGGGAGGGTCTCCAAGCAGCGGCCCAGGCGCAGGCAAAGGCGGCTCGCCAAGTCCTGCGCAGGGCGCCCCCCCCCCTGGGGCGGCGGCAGCGGACGCCAGCGGCAGCGCCAGCAGCGACGCCGATGCAGCCAGGCTACCAGCTGGGTGTGATACCGAGGACGATGCGGAGCTCCTCGCAGCCGCAGCACGTCTCTCCTCGGCCAGGCTCGCGGCCCAGGCGCAGGCGCTCAAGGAGCAGTCGGCCAACACCAAGGGCGCGACGGGCAAAGGCAAGGGAGCTCCCGCCCGAGGGGGCAAGGACATCGCGGCAGCAGCGGCTGCCGATGATCCTGATCTGTGACTAGCACCACCCTCGAGTACGACGCCGAGCTCGTCAGTCACTACGGGAGAGACTGCAAGCAGCCAGGCGAACTCGAGGGAGCACCAGGACCAGGATCTGGTACATCTATTCTTCTCCAATGTCACATGTATTGGAGACAAATCGTGGGGTTATCTTGTTGATAACAATTTTGATTTTGCAGCCGCTGTCGAGACACGCGTGTCTAGTGCAGATTTGCCTGGTTGGGACAAGAAGGCGCGTGCCGCTGGATACCGTCTCTTGGGCAATGGGGCTCGCACTCGACAGCGCAGAGTTTCTCGAGCTCAACGTGCCCATGCGAACGAAGGCGGTGAGTGGGTGCTTGCCAAGGGCCATCTTCAGATGCAGACACTGCTGTCAGAGTCTGGAAGTCGCCCACTTCGAGCGCACGGGCATCGGGAGCTGGACGGATTTCAAGCTGTCCTCATCCATCTCAGCGGCTTCACGCTGGTGGTCATCGTGTTCTACGGATTTCCTTCGCTGGGGATCGCGGGCGCGAACCTCGGCAGGTTCCAGCGGCTCGGGGCCCTCCTGAATTCGCTGGCAGTGCCGTGGCTAGTCATCGGCGACTTCAACGTCACGCCAACCACTCTGAGCAAGTCCAGTTTCATGCGGGGCCTGCGCTCGGAGGCCAGTATCATGCACACGAATTTGGAGGCCACCTGCAACGTCGGGAAGCGGGACGCCAGCCATCTGGACTACATGCTTGTGTCAGCCGAGGCGCAGCCCATCATCGCCTCGCTCGAGCCTGTAGTCAGCGTGCCGTGGAAGCCGCACGTGGGCTTGCTGGTGCGAATTCGGCGCTCGGCGAGGGCCCTGCAGGTGCGGTACCTGGACATGCCGCGGCGTCTCCCGCAGGTGACCAGGCCTCGGACCCAGCCGATGCCAGGGTCCAAGTCGGCCCGAGCAAGAGCTGTGAATGAGGAGAAGCGGCAGAGGCGCCAGGAGTTGCGGGAAAAACACTTTCGCAGATTCTTCGCTGATCTCTTCTCATCGGATGAGGCCACAGTCGATCAGGAGCGGGAGTCAGTTGAAGATACTTCCCCTCCTGATGGTGTAGGTTTTGAATTTGAAGAGGATTTTCCCGAGGGTCCCGATTTTCCTTTCTCTGGCGAGTTCTTGGAGGACGGGGACCCTTGGTCCGACGAGGTCGACCCTTGGGCCCACGAGTCCGACTTTAAACCAGCTGTTCCCTGCGGTTTTGTTTCGTCACCGTGCCAGCCTCCTGGTGGTGGGAGCCCTACAAGACAAGCTTCTGTCCCAGGAGAGCCTGGAATTCGCGCCCGAGACCCCCCGCTGAGGACGTGCAGTCAAATTCCTGACTCCGACGGCGGTACCACCCCGACTCCTCCTCCTCGGCCTCTCTCTCCCCATGTTAATGAACAGTCGATGCCTTTAGTAGCTCAGGATGCCCAGGCCTCTGGGGACGCTGATCTGGTGCAGGAATGTCCGTTCTATGTCTCGGAGTTGACCTGGTCTGAGTGCAAATCGGATGTGGGTTTCATTCCCAGCAACGAGTGCCCACCAGCTCCAGGTTTCGAGCAATCCGTAGCTTTTCGGCTCCATGATCCTGGCACCTCTCAGGCTATAGCTTCCTTGTACGCCTCATGGGTACGTTCGGCTGAGATGAGTATCCAACGACATCATTCTCTTCAGGCAACCTCTGGAGTCCTGCGAGGCAGCGGGCCCAGTTTTCGTATAGCCGCCCTCCAACAGCAGGAGCGCACTCGCGTCACGACGTGTGCAGATCTTGTAGCAGGTTGGTGGGGGCGGACTCACACAATTTATGCAGGGCTCGCTCGGCACTACGCTCGAGACAATGGACATCAGCAACGGACTCGTCTGATTGCAGCGCTGGCTCTGCAGATGGACTCACGCCCCGACTCAGCTCATGCCCTTCTCAACGGCCGTGATCCCACCTGGGACGACTGGGTTGAGATGGCGGCCGCCTTGCAGAACGGGGCTGTTACAGTGGATACCATACGTCTTCAGAGTTTCGCAGCAGCTTCTGAGAAGATCGCAGACCGCGGTCAACAGCGCTCAGTCTATGCATCCATGCAGAAGTTTGGCAAGTGGATGACCGAGCAGTCGTCGCTCGGCCCGCTCCATCGCAGTCTACGTCAAGAGGCAATGATCAAGCATGAGATCGAAGTCGGAGACGACATTTTGTTCCAGCCGCTTGATCTTGTCGATCACAAGGCTCTGAAGTGGCGGCAGAAGTGGGCACCGTCTTTGTCCACGGAGGCTGCCATTCATGAGGCGTTTCGGCAAGGGCGCGAACGCGCAGAACTCGAGCCCCTACCTCCCATCACAGGAGCTGATGTCAGGGAGGCAGCCAGGCGCATGCCTGCGCGAGCGGGACAAGGATGCGATCGCATGTCACCCATTGACTTCGAACGCTTGCCTCTGACGGCGCTGGACGAGCTGGCAGATCTGCACATGATGATCGAAGCTGAGCTTGTCTGGCCACGCCAGATCATGATTACCCTCGGTCGCCTTCTGCCGAAGAAGACAGAAGGCGACCGAATCATAGGTCTTCTTTCTATGTTCAGCAGATTGTGGTCGCTCATCAGAGAACCAGTAGTTCGACAGTGGTCGGACTCCTCGGCCCCCTACTGGGACGCTGCAGCGAAGGGCAACGCGGCTCTCCGCGAAGCTTTCGTTCGCACCCTGGAGGAGGAGGTCGGGCATCAACTCGGTGTGGTTTCTGGAGCTGGATTTTTAGATATCGACGGATTGTATGACAATATTGTGTGGGAGCTGCTTATACCCAAGGGCTTGCAACTAGGATTTCCAGCAGCCATCTTGTGCCTGGAGGTGCTGCAATGTATGGCGCCTCGAGCCCTGGGGCAGTGCAGCTCGTGGGCCCTCCCCATCGTACCCACGAGGTCGGTGGTCCAGGGCCTCCGGTCAGGCACACGGTTTGGAAGGATCATGGTGTATTTCGTGCTCGACAGGATCTGCTCAGCTCACCCTCGGATGGGTCACCGCATATGGGTGGATGACCTGGCTCAACGTGCAGTTGGCTCTCGCGACAGCGCACGGCAACAACTTGTCGCCAGCCTCCGCGACACGTGCAAGGGCCTTCGAGAGATGAAGCTTCAGGTGGCATCCAAGTCAGTCGTGGTGTGCGCTCACCATTCAGATGCTCTTCAGGCGTGCCGCACTCTTCGAGTTGCGGGCTTCCAAGTGCGAGCACAACGTACCGCAGGCTTCCTTGGCACTGACCTAGGAGGGGGCGGTCGTCACGCTCGGGCTACGAGACGCAGAAGAGCGGACAAGCATCGACTGATGAACACCAAGGTACGCAAATTCGCTCGTGCAGGACGACGATATGCCATCACATCGAAGCTGGAGCGTCTCGGAGCTCAGGCGGCTGGGCTATACGGACACCAGGTTCACGGCACGCACGGTGTTTACCTACGCCAGGCTCGACAGCGGCTAGGCGCTGTGGTGGCGGCCCCGTCCAAGGGTCGCTGTCTCACCACGGTCCTGGCACTACGAGCTCCGCATGACCCAGCACTCAAACTCCCAGAAGAGATGTTACGACAATGGTTTCGAGTTTGGCAGGAGGAGCCAGGTCTTAGACGTGGAGTTTGCCGCGCGTGGAACCCCCTGGCGGAGAAGCTTCGTGCCATCCCATCAGGTCAGCGCACGCGGCACATACGTGGACCTCTTTCTGCTGTCATCACCCTGCTGTTGAATAACGGATGGGATCCAAGGTCAGCTATCGAATGGTTCAAGCCTGCTGCCGACCCACAGGACGAGTCCATCGAATGGCATTTCCCCGACTCAGCGTGGACAGGATGGCCTGACGTCGATGACCCTGGCCACCTCATCCGCGACGTGCAGAACTCTATCCGTTCGTCTCTGCGGGAGCAGGCATCTCGACACTTTTGTGGCGGTGGCATGGAAGGCGGCATCGACTTCACATCCTTACGACAGCTGTACTCACAACTGCAGTCGGTCGACCGTGGAGCTCGGCTTGCAGAACTACTGGTCACTATCGCAGCTGGAGGGTACTGGACTCGCTCTCGCCGCGGGGAGTTCCTTGCGACCAAGGGCAGGCCCTTCGACACGAAGTGCCCACGGTGCGGCGAGGCTCCAGAGACCCCATTCCATCGCATGTGGAGCTGCAGTCACAATGTTGAAGCTGCAGCATACAAGTGTTCAGAATGTTTGGTGGGGGAGGCCTATTCCAGCTGGGAGTCCATGGAATGTTTCTGGCTCCGCGGGCTTCTCCCATCCCATCTTGTTCAGGTTTCGCCTCCGTCGCAGGAGGAGCACTGGCAGGCATCAGGAGAGATTATTATGACAGGGACGTTCGGACACGGCTCGCGGGGCGCCCCGATCTTTCTGTTCGGAGATGCCAGCGGCGGTGTTTTATCGGGGCACACAAGGTATCGCCGCGTAGGCGTTTCAGTTGCCTGTATCAGTTCTTTCGAACCCCTCGAGATCGACAGCTCGATGTCTGGAGGGCTGGCAGGAGAACGGCAGTCAGTGTCTCGTGGAGAACTTCGGGCCCTTCTCTTGGTTGCTGAACATTCGTCGGGCAGAGTGGTGTACACGACGGACAATGAATATGTAGCTGAAGGATGGGCCTCAAAATTGTATCGAGAGCCCTCGGGACCAGATGCCGATCTTTGGCATCGTATCGGCGATGTTTTCGATTCCTCCAGGGACCCTGCTTTGTTTGTGGTGTTGTTCGTCAACTCACATTTGGAGGCCCGTGAAGCTGTATCTGGGAAATTTCCTATGTGGATGACCTTGGGTAATGCGGTGGCTGATATATTGGCAGGGTCCGCCGCCAGTCGTGTGCAGGTTAGCGCAGAGGAGAGAGTGCGTGCTGAGCAGTGGGAGCAGAGGGTTCTACTCGTACGGCTTCGCCTACTCCGCGCCACGCTCGACACCGTCGTCGCAGAGAAACGTCAGGAGCCTCTCGGGAAGAAACAACGTGAGCCACCTCCTCCCCCTCCTCCTGCCCTTTCTGCGATTCAGACTTTCACTACCTCCCATCAGTTTGATGAGACTGGTCGTAAGTGTAGTAGGTGCTGCAGCTCCGCTGCCATAGCTAGGCTTCCTGTTTGGAGGAGTACCCCGTGTTTTCATCCTGTCCACGTGCACGATGATTTTTTCAGGGCCCCGTCTGGAGTCAGGTTGCACCTAGCGGGGGGGTGGGCTGATCCCTCGCACCAACTCACCCTGCATGGCACTCTGAAGCTCTGGTTCTGTAGTCGGCGCGGGTGCTTTGCCAGTCAGATGTTGAAGGGTCTGGGACAACCGTGTCTCAAGACCACGAATTCCGCCAGGTCCGAGTATTTGTCTCGTATCGCCGCTGGTCAGTGGCCCAAGGTCCAGAGCAAGGCCAAGCAGGCGGGGCGGGTTTCGTAAGTCATCGGATGTCGCTTCGCGATTGGGGTCACTCACTCACTCACTCCTCCTCCTCCTCCTCCTCCTCCTCCTCCTCCTCCTCCTCCTCCTCCTCCTCCTCCTCCTCCTCTCCTCCTCCTCCTCATTGCTGGCGTGCTAATTGTGTTGTCTGTAACCGGTGCCTCGCAGTCGGGCGCTGTATATTGTGCGTCACAATCGTGATGCGCTTTGTGCTTCTGCTTCGCGGTCGTGTCGCACTCCGTTTTCCGCCGCGCGCTATCGCAACCCGGAGGTGATTTCTTACACCTACAGGCAGGCGCACCGCCAAGCATCGGCCCAATAGCGGTCCGGATGTTTTTGCCAACGCGTCTTACAGATGCACGGCTTCTGACCTGACATGAAAGAGACCTCCGACAAGCTCAAGGACGCCTTACTCCAGCCGCCGCCGGCGACGCCCCAGGACCCCAACCTGGTCTACCAGCGCGCGACCGCGGCGGAGCGAAAGGCCAAGAAGGCCTTGGAGGCGGCAGTGGAATCCGAGCGCACTGCCATTGTCTGGTACGAGGAGCGCCAGAGCGTCCCCTTCCAGGCCGCCGCGGCGCAGTTCAAACCCTCCGGGGCAGCGGCAGCCGCACCTCTGTGCTCTCCAAGGAAAAAGAGGCCGCCCCTGCCGCCGAGAGACCTGCGACGACGTCGCCGCCTTCGACCGCACCAAGCTGCTCGAGGCCGACGGCGGGGTCGAGTTCGTGGCGGGCTCGGCCATCGACACCACGGAGCTGGACGCCAAGCAAGCAGGCCGACCGGGACAAGCTGCAGGTCCCCCAGAGGCAGTTCGCGGACGAGCTGCGCGCTGAGGTCCAGGAGATCTTCGGCGAGTCGGCGGGCAACCTCTCTTCCCTGCGCAAGGAGCACCAGCAGCTCGTCACTCGCTTGCAATCCAGACGGCGCCGCATGGAGGAGGCCGACCCCGAGCGCCGGAAGCACCTCGAACGCCGCCGCGCCGGTCGCCGCCGCCGCCGCCGACGCCGCAGGCGGGGCGCCGCTGCCCGCAAGCCCGACTCTGCGACGCCAATGGCGCCGCGCGCCCCGGCGGCAGCAGCGCTCGGGCCGCCCGCCGCACCCCGCGGGGGCTGGGATTGGGTCGGGGGCCCGGCCGCGCGGGTCGCCCTCGAATCCGCGGGCGGCGGGCGGCGCCCGCGGAAGTGACACTTCTGCGACGATTGCCTCAGCGACGCGCGGGGCCAGCGCATCAAGTCATTGCGGAAGAGCGCCCGCCCGCGCACAGAGTCGGGCCAGCCCCTGAGAACCACTTCGACCTCCTCCGCCTGGCGCGCCCCCAAGCGCGAGAATTCCTTGAAAGCCGCCTTGAGCACCGCCACCACGTCGGACTTCGATGGGCGAACCCGCGTCTTCCTCTCAGCACTGGCAACTTCTTCCAACGTGGAGATGGCGTAGGTCCACGCAGGCGTTCACGCGGATGCTGCTCCTGCCCGTCAGGAGCACGCGACGGATGAGCCCCTTGTCTTGAATTCGGGCCTCGCGAAGAAGGTGCCTGTGACGGTCTGGCTCAGGGTTTAGGGTTTAGGGTTTAGGGTTTAGGCTTGATTGATTAAGATTAACGATTGCTGGCGTGCGGTGGCGAGCGGGCGGGCGCCGCGGCGGGCGCCGCGGCGGCGCCCGCCCGCCCGCCTTTTTTAATACAACTCCTTTGGGTTGTGTCTAGTAGCGGAGGCCATCTACAGCTGAAGCGATCACGCATCAGTGAAGTTCAGCAACGGGCCGCCTGACTGGACAGGGCCGACCCCTCGGCGCTTCGCTGTAACACTAAAGAGGGGTCGGCCCAGGGTTTAGGGTTTAGGGTTTAGGGTTTAGGGTTTAGACTTGATTGATTAAGATTAACGATTGCTGGCGCGCGGCGGCTGTGGGGGGCTGGGGGCTAAGGATCTTGATTGATTAATATTAACGATTGCTGCGCGCGGGCTGTGGGGGCTGGGGGCTAAGGATCTTGATTGATTAAGATTAACGATTGCTGGCGCGCGGTGGCGAGCGGGCGGGCGCCGCGGCGGCGCCCGCCCGCCCGCCTTTTTTAATACAACTCCTTTGGGTTGTGTCTAGTAGCGGAGGCCATCTACAGCTGAAGCGATCACGCATCAGTGAAGTTCAGCAACGGGCCGCCTGACTGGACAGGGCCGACCCCTCGGCGCTTCGCTGTAACACTAAAGAGGGGTCGGCCCAGGGTTTAGGGTTTAGGGTTTAGGGTTTAGGGTTTAGGGTTTAGGGTTTAGGGTTCCATGTGTGGTGGCAAGGGTCAGAGACCCTCGGGCCCCTTGCCCTAGGGCCGTAGGCCCTAGGGCTAAGGATCTTGATTGATTAAGATTAACGATTGCTGGCGCGCGGCGGCTGTGGGGGGCTGGGGGCTAAGGATCTTGATTGATTAAGATTAACGATTGCTGGCGTGCGGTGGCGAGCGGGCGGGCGCCGCGGCGGGCGCCGCGGCGGGCGCCGCGGCGGCGCCGCGGCGGCGCCCGCCCGCCCGCCTTTCTTTAATACAACTCCTTTGGGTTGTGTCTAGTAGCGGAGGCCATCTACAGCTGAAGCGATCACGCATCAGTGAAGTTCAGCAACGGGCCGCCTGACTGGACAGGGCCGACCCCTCGGCGCTTCGCTGTAACACTAAAGAGGGGTCGGCCCAGGGTTTAGGGTTTAGGGTTTAGGGTTTAGGGTTTAGGCTTGATTGATTAAGATTAACGATTGCTGGCGCGCGGCGGCTGTGGGGGGCTGGGGGCTAAGGATCTTGATTGATTAATATTAACGATTGCTGGCGCGCGGTGGCTGTGGGGGGCTGGGGGCTAAGGATCTTGATTGATTAAGATTAACGATTGCTGGCGTGCGGTGGCGAGCGGGCGGGCGCCGCGGCGGGCGCCGCGGCGGGCGCCGCGGCGGCGCCCGCCCGCCCGCCCTTTTTAATACAACTCCTTTGGGTTGTGTCTAGTAGCGGAGGCCATCTACAGCTGAAGCGATCACGCATCAGTGAAGTTCAGCAACGGGCCGCCTGACTGGACAGGGCCGACCCCTCAAGGCGATCTGCTGCAGAAGGCGCATTGTCTCGTCGTTGCCGTCGTCCGAGCTGACTGAGGGCTCCATCGCCGCTCTCTTGGCTGGTGACGGCGCTGCCCGTCGGCGACGCTGAGCCCTCTGCTCCTTGGCCTGCCCCTCCACGCCGTGCATAATCACGTCTGGTTGCTCCGATTCGACCTGCTGCTAGGGCGCCCCAGCCGCTCGAGCGCCGGCAAACGCTGGCCACGGCGGCGCTGCCCCCGCCGACGCCCTCGCCGCCCGCACTCCTGGCGGAGGAGCTGGGGCCGCCACCAAGGCCTGCCACTCTGGATCGGCCCCGCCCAGCTGGGCGAAGCCCTTCCCGCGCAGCGAGCAGGCGGCGGTCTGGCGCTCGCACGCGCATGTCGTCTCCTTCTCGGGCGTGGACTTGTCCGGCTTGGCGTCCTGGAGGCGACCCGCATGGCGCATAGCCCACGCACCCACCAGCGCCCATGCCCATTGCTGCCAAACCCTACATGGATGGGCATGTGGCGGCACGTGTAGAACTGCCGCGGGATCACCCGCATGCGTTTGACGAGGTTCGTCGGCCAGAAACGGCGATTGATCATCATCCGGCCAAACTCGTCGGCTAGCTTGGAGAGCCAGAAGACCACGGCGCCCACCAGGGCCGCCCACGACCACTGGCCGCGGGTCATGGACTGCGGCGCTGGCGCTCCGGTGGCCCAGCTGCTCGCCCATCGTCGCGGGGCGGTTGGCCCGGCGCTGCGCCTCGGTCTGCCCCCCCCCCTTGCCCTTGGAGACGGCGGAGCCGCCTGGGCCAATGACCGAGTTCACACCTGGCGGCGGCATGGCTCGGTCTCACAGTCACGCTGCAGAACCCGACGTAGCGATGGAGTCGCTGGGAGAGATCCCCATCGGGTTCGCCAGGCTGGCTGACGGCTCGAATGCTCAAGCCCAGCCGCTGCGCAATGACGAGCGCGATGACCCAGGTGAACGCCTGCTTGGCTCTGGCTGCCCCTCGTCTCTGAACCGACCGAAGTTCACGAGCCTCTCGCCTTCCGGGCCGCCCCCACCGTCGAACCCGTTCTTCTTCTTCGGTTTTCCGAAGCACAGCCCTGCTCTCCGTAGCTCGATCCGGGAGGACGCTAGGCCGCGCGAGCTCCGATCCGCGCCCCCGGGGGTTCTTGCCCTTGCCGCCTGGGGCCCTTGAGCCCCCGAACCGCCCCGGGCCCCGGAATCGGTCAGCTGTCCAGGACGCGATGCCCCCCGGGGTTCTCGAGGAGGAGGGGGAGAATAGGACCCAGCCCTAGGGGGCGAGGACGGGGAGACGATGGCGCAGCTCGACATCGCCTCGCTCCTGAAATCTTGCTCTTCGACCTCCGGATGCTGGCTCAGCGCCGAGCGGGGGGCGCTTGAGAACTGCTCCCGGAGTGGGCGCTCCAAAATCGCCCAAGCGCATCGTGCGATGTCCGGTGGGAAGCCGACGCATATCAGCCTTCACCCCCAGACGCTCGAGTTCAATCTAATTCGTGCCTAGATCGATTCTCGCTCATAGCATATCCTGAAATCCTACTGAGAGGCGGGGCGGCACGTCCTCTTTGAAGACGTCCAACTCGATGAACCCCATCTTCCCTTGAATGCCCGTGGGGATCAGGGCCGCGCTCAAAACTGCGGCGCCCCCTCCGACTCCGCGGGCCGAGCGATTTCGGGGGGGCACCTGGGGCACTCGCAAACCACTCCTGCTCAAAAGCTCGCAGTGACGTTTCAAAGCTGGCATGCCAATCAGTCCTTGACCCGCTGCGGCGTCGACGACCATCGCGCCGGGCTCGACGCTCACGAGGGCGACGGTGGCGCTGTCGAGGTCCTGGTCGCGGCTCTGGATCGGGTCGGAGATGTTCGCATAGACGTAGGCGTTGACATTCGCGGCGGCACCTGCGGTTGCACTCTGGCCATTCCGCGCCGGACATTCACGAGACCGGCATCTCGTCCTCTTGATCAGCTCTGACAGGGGACGACGTGACTTTCTCGGCCGAACCTGCCCATTGGCGGCGCGATGGCCGCGCTGCTGCCTGTGGGCCGGCTCTGGCTTGTCTTTGCTGCGGTCGAAGGACTCGAGATCGACCTTCATCTTGCGCTTAAGGTCCCGGTTCTGCTTCCACGTCTTGCGTCTCTCCTCTTGCATCGTCGCGAACGCCTGGGAAAGCTCGTCGTCGTGCAAACCTGGGCCCTCCAGCGTCGCGTAGACCTTCTGCTCTCCGTCGGGAAGAGACGTCGTCGTCCTCCAGGGTTGAGTCGAGATCGAGATCGCCCGCATGCACGGAGCACGTGGGCTCATCCTCAGGGAAACTGCTTTCTGCCAAGAACGATCTCTTTTGAAACGACAAATGCACCAGACGAGCGACGTCCATCTCTCTGATCGCGGCGAGAGCCTCCGAGTACGAGTCACGGGTGTTCATCATGACCCTCATCAGCTGTTGTCCTCTCTCGTCGAGACCGACACCCTCCTCCAGGAGCATGAACTTCCAGTCCTCTGGGACCGGAAGGCCCAGAGTCGCGACCTTGTCGAAAGCCAGGTCGATCCGGGCGGCGCACTCCGCGAGGCCTTCTCCTTGACGCCGCCGGAAGGAGAAGAGGCACTCCCTCCCGGCCTCCCTCTTCTCGTCGTCCACCTTCTCGCCGGACAGGAGGTCCAGGCGCTCCACGATCTTGTCGGCCCAGGCGTCGGAGGTGAGCACCTCGCCCGACAGGTCGCCCATTTTCCTCTGGAGGTCGGGAGGAAGCACCTTGAGGATGCGATCTGCATGCTTGTGAGCGGGAATGTCTGTCAGCTGCCGCCAGCGGACGAGCTGGCGCCTCCACAGATTGTACTCGTTCCAAGTGCACCAGGCGCTTGGGACAGCGAAGTCCTTGCCCCGCTCGCCACAGCCGCCCCAATCCTTGCAGCCAGAGCCCTCCTTCAAGCCCGTGCCCCAGCTGTCCTTCCAGCCTGACTTCCACCAGCCGTTCTGGTCGGCATTGTTTTCGACACCGTCTGAGGCGTCTCGCTCTCCGGCACGGTTCTGGCTCCAGGGGTCCTCTTGCTGCCACGGATCGTCATCTCGATTCGGCGCTGTACCACTGGCCCGCCCTTCGCCTGCTCCGTCGGTTCCCCGACCTGCTTGGCTGGATCCTTGGACCTGGTTTCGCACCATCTTGATAACCTGCTCCAGCTGCTGTCGCCAGTCCCGTGGCCTGGCCTGGCCTCGCGGGTGGCGGCGCCTCTGGTGGTGCTGGCCTCGTCGCTGTCACAACTCCATCCAGCAGCGTTCTGAGCTGCCCCTCCGAGAGGCGAAACTGGCCGCCCTCATCTGCCCATTGCTTTGCTGTTCCCAAAGTTGCTACGATAGATCCCTGGCCTGCCGAGGCCGAACTGTTGGGTGAATTTGCACCCTGCTCTTGAAACATCGTCGGGCCCGCAGAACCGAGCCTCCGCAGAGGCTCCGCTACCACTGTCTGCCCACCGACGTCGTCCCCAGATGACA